TAGAACTTTCCATAAACTTATTTGAATTTATAGCGCACGCCAGTGGCAAAGGTATCTGTCTTTGACTAGCAGCTGATATTGGTATCCCAGATGACGTCACATAATATGCTCGTAGGCACACCATCTTCTCCTTCCACTATGGATATACCCCAGTAGAAACTAGGCCGCCCTATGTCTGCTCTTCTGGTGCATAGACAACGCCCCTTTGCTAACGAACCCAGCCCCGCAAACCGGACACTTGTACGGCCTCTCCCCACTATGGTACCGCATATGAACAGTCAGCGGAGTCTTCTGCGTGAAACATTTGCCGCACTCTGCGCACTCGTACGGTCGATCACCGGTATGCGTGCGCATGTGCAGCTTCAGCGTGGTGCGCAGCGCGAAGCTCTTGCCGCACTCTTTGCACTCGATGGGCTTCAGGCCCTGGTGGATCAACAGGTGGTCTCTCAAACTGCGTTTAGAGTTCACTTCTTTGCCGCAGTGGTCGCACACGAACCGCTGCCCACCGTTCTCGTGCATTCTTTGGTTGTGGTGCTTCAGATAGCGTTCCTGGAGGAAGGTTTTGTCGCAGAGATCGCACCTGATGCTCGGATCTGTGCCGTAGTCCTCGGCGTGCCTCGCCATGTGGCTTTGCAATGTAGCTTTGTCGTAGCAACTTCTTCCGCAGATGCTGCAGATGTGGCTGGTGTTGCCGTGCTTGGACCCGATGTGGTTCTGGTACTCCTGGTTGGTGACGAAGCCTTGTCCGCAGATCTCGCACTTGGCAATGAACTCTTTGAGGTGTCTTTTTCTGTGGATGGTCCAAGAGCCTTTCGATCTGAGCTTCTTGGAGCAGAAGTCGCACTCGAAGGAAACGAAGTTGTTGTGGACTCGCATGTGGTTGACTACTTCGTGTTTTCGTTTGAAGCGTCTGTGGCAGATTTCGCAAGCGTGAGGTCTAGCTTCGCTGTGAGTGGTCATGTGCTTCCTGAGCCTGATGGAGTTTTTGAAAAATTTGCCGCAAAGGTCGCAGGTTTTGATTCTGGTGAATTTGCCGCCTTCAGTGAACTCCACTTTGCCTTCTATTAATATTGTTTGGTTGAGTGGGCGACGTTCCTTCTGGTGCCTAAAATTTGAGTCAATTCGTAAAAAAAACACTTACTGAGATGGACAACATATTTAACACAATAAAAAAACATTGAATTTTAGAGTTCCACAGTAACTCTTCCAAATGCAACCTCTATAAAAGACAGATCTCGAATAGGTGACTAGTTTGCTAGATTGTTCTATCCGTCATTCGGACGCCCCCTTACGAGCAACCCTCAGAAGTCTTCAAGAGACTTGTGCAAGCAAGGAATATCGGGGGCCTTACCTTTCAACCTGTGATTCCACACACTTTCTTGGGCCATCAGAAAAATGTCTGCAGTCGTGGATTTGAACCCACGACCATCAAGCCATCGCGATTAAAATACTAACGGTTCTATCTGGCCCATATGATAATAGTTCTGGATTATAATCATCAAAGGAGAAAGCACCCTGTCCACTTCTCTGATGGATAGAACAAGCAGTCTTAGTAACGAATTCAACACTAAAGAATCCGCGAGAGTTTGGTAAACTGAAGCAAGCTTGATAACGCAGCTGGTTGATTCCTTGATTGACCAAAAAGCGAGCTCAGTTTCAAGTTGTCGCAATTTACAAAGTGATCGCAAATTCTGGCCCATCCTGTAATTTCTTGCGAGTCTCTCCACGCAGTTTTACAACGACGCTTTATCAGAAGTAAAGTTACTTCTGCGGTGCCAAACACGGTGCTTGGAATCATAATCATTGATTATGAAACCTTTGTTAAAATTATTGTACCCAGATACCTAAATAGAATCTCATCGTTCTGAAAATTATTCATAGCAAGAATCTTTTTTATTACCTATTTCTGGAAGACTCTATGGAATCAAAAATTGATAGAAGACGAGGAACACTGCAAACAGAATCTTTGTGGAGATATAATATAACAATTGACAATCACATGTTACAGATAAAATTACCATAAATAGATATTTAGCTATGTACATCGAGTTCCCAAACGAATCATACACCTCAATCAATCGATTCAGTCTAAAATTCCTCAGCTAACTATAACAGTAACTATACTTACTCTGATAAACCCAATTTGACAGTACATGAGAGGTAGTTCCAACGAATAAAGATATGTCTAACACTGAAACGAAAATGCAGCAAAATCGAAGAGAACCTCAAACAGATTCGTGAAACCTTTTCATATGGTTCGTCAGCAAAATCTTCGTCACGAAACCCATATCACATATATCGCACTTGTACGGCCTCTCCCCAGTATGGTACAGCATGTGGGTGTTCAATGGACCCTTCTGGGTGAACCGCTTTCCACAAATCTTACAAGCATATGGCCTTTCCCCGGTATGAGTGCGCATGTGCAGCTTCAGCGTGGTCTTTATAGTGAATCTCTTGCCACACTCTTTGCATTCCACAGGTTTGTCACCTTTATGGATCAGCGTATGGTCCCTCAGAGAGTTCTTCGAGTGTAGTGTTTTTCCACACAAGTCACAAACATAGCTCTGCCCACCGTCTTTGTGCATCCTCATGTAATGGTGTTTCAAGTACCGCTCTTGGTTGAACATTTTGCCGCAGTGTTCGCACTTGAAGCTCGGGTTTTTGCCGTAGTCGTCCGCATGTCGGGCCATGTGACCTTCCAGCGAAGTTTTATCGTAACAGCTCCTGCCGCAAATGTTGCAAATGTGGCTGCTGGAACCATGTTTGGCAGTCATGTGAGTCCTATACTCGTGGTTAGTAACGAAACCTCGGTTGCATACATCGCATTTTACTATGTACGTCTTTAGATGCCTGTTTCTGTGCGTCTGCCAGGAGTTTTTAGACTTGAGCTTCTTCTGGCAAAAATCGCACTCGTAAGAAACCGAACCGTCATGCACTCTCTTGTGATTCTTCACCTCATGGCGGCGCTTGAACGCCCTGTGACAGACGTCGCAAGAGTAGGGCCTCTTCTCGCTGTGCGTGGTCAGGTGCTTCCTCAGGTGTCTGCGGTTCTTGAAAAACTTGCCGCACATGTCGCAACGCATCAGCTTCGTGAATCCATCACCCTCTATGAATTCCACTTTGCCTTCTATGCAGGACCTGAAACGAGGGGTTGTTAGTCCGAATTCTGGGGGACTGTGAGTACCTACCAAAAGGATCGGGTGGAACTGGTGTCCAAGAAAACTCTGACAATCTCTAGGTCTAGGTATAATTCATTCATATTATATTATTAAAGCTATTGAGATATTTTGGGCGATATACTATTATTTACATAATACTTTACAAAATTATAATTTACACCGGGTTACTCTTGATGATCAGAGCCTTATATAGCCCCGTGATGCTTCTTCACGTGAGTCATTAGCAAATTTTTGGTGACGAACCCCATGGGACAGATCTCGCACTTATGCGGCCGCTCTCCCGTATGGTACAACATGTGGATATTCAATGGCCCTCGCTGCGTGAAACATCTCCCACACTGCTTGCAGCTGTACGGCCTCTCGCCCGTATGCGTGCGCATGTGCAGCTTCAGAGTAGTCCGCAGCGCGAAGCTCTTACCGCAGTCCTTGCACACCAGAGGCTTCAGACCTTGGTGCACCAGCATGTGGTCCTTGAGGCTGCCCTTGGAGTGCAGGTTCTTGCCGCAAAGGTCACACATGAACCTCTGCCCGCCGTCTTTGTGTATCCTGATGATGTGCTGCTTGAGGTACTTGTCTTGCAGAAAGGTTTTATCGCACATGGGGCACTTGATGTCTTGGTTGCTCTCGTAGTTGTCGGCGTGTCTGGCCATGTGGCCTTGGAGGGCCGCTTTATCATAGCAAGCTCTGCCGCAGACGTTGCACACGTGGTTGCTGGTGCCGTGCTTGGAGCCTATGTGGTTGTTGTACTCTTGGTTGGTGACGAAGCCTTGGCCGCAAATTTCGCATTTGGCCACGTACTCTTTCAGGTGCCTTTTTCTGTGGATGACGTAAGAGCTTTTTGACTTGAGCAGTTTGGAGCAGATGTCACATTGTAATGAGTTGTATTGGCCATGGACTCTCATGTGGACTGTGACGTCGTACTTCCGTTTGAAGGTTTTCGAGCAGAGTTTGCAGGGGTAAGGCCTCTCGGTGCTGTGCGCTAGCATGTGTTTCTTGAGGCGTCGGCTGTTTTTGAAGGTTTTTTGGCAGAGGTCGCAGGCGAGCTGTGAGCTCGAGTTCCTTTTCGATTTTGGTTTCCTCGTTTTCTTCTTCCTGAAAAACAAACACAATCAGATCGAGACGATATTTTCCATTCGGTTTACCAAACAGTCCTGTCTTCCTTTGGCCACAGTTTCTCAATTCTCAAAGCGGAATCTGCAAAATACTCCTTAGAAAGAATAATGCTGGTCAAGGATCCTTTGTTTCATTTTCCAAAATCATCGAACATTTTCACTGAACAAAAACACAGAAAATATCATTTGCAGAGATCCTTCTTGAGAGTATATTTAATATACACATATATTTAATAAAATGGACCAAGACAAGCTTAAAACAGACAAAAAGACAATTGTTTAATCAGCATTCTCAGTTTTCGTTTTGATAAGTTTCTCCTCGAAAATCCTATGTTTCTGTTTCAAATGCGACCTCAGCATACTCTTAGAGATGAAACTCTTTTCGCATATGGTACAAGCCTCAGGTTTCTCCCCAGTATGCAATCTCATGTGAACCTTCAAACTGTGGCTCTGCGTAAAATCCCTCGTACAAATAGTGCATTTGTACGGCCTTATACCAGTGTGTCTTCTACTGTGCAAAATCAACGTAGTCCTATTGGCGAAGCCTTGATGGCAAATCTCGCATTTGTGAGGCTTGAGGCCTTCATGGACAGCGATCATGTGCTCTTGCAGACTGTTCTTCGATGACAGCTTCTTACCGCAGTGCTCGCAGATGAATCTGTGGTTGTAGTCTTCGGAATGTTTTTTGTACATGTGCACGAGCAGGTACTTCTCGTCTATGAATCTGGTATCGCAGAGGGTACACTTGATGTTCTTCTTCTTGCCATAGTTGGCATCGTGTTTCATCCTGTGGTTCTCCAAGCTGGTTTTGTCGTAACATTGCCTGCCACAGATTTCGCACACGAAGTGGGACTTCCCTTCGTGCTTCGAATTGGTGTGCAAAGTCAAGCTAGTTTTGGTGTAGAATCCCTTCTTGCAATACTCGCAGAAGATGGTGTACAGCTTCTGGTGTCGCTTGTGGTGTATGATCAGCGACGTCTTGCTGGTCAATTTCTTGTGGCACACTTCGCAAGTGTAGGTGTCTCTGTTGGTATTGTGTACCTTGCTGTGTGACTTCAGCTCCTGTTTCCTTTTGCAGCGTTTGTCGCAATGAGGACACTTGTAAGGAAACTTGTCGTCATGTGTGAGTAAATGGCTGCGCAAGTGGTAGACGTTCTTGAAGCACTTGAAGCATTCTTGGCACTGATGTTTCCCCAGTTTCAGCATGGTTAGTATGTTTGGCCTGAAAATTAAAGAAAGTTGAAGAAGATTTGGGAATAATGGGTAAGGCTTCCTACCTGAATAATGAATTTCATTAAATTTCAATTCAACTTTATTGACGATCAATCAATATATGAAGAATATCCACAACTGATTATGATATAGATACTATTGAAGGAAACTTCTATCGTCGAATTGAGATGCAGCAGTGTTCCTTATATAACTTGGGGACGAGAGAATGAACAAGAAAACGCATAAAAAATTTCTCTTTATTTAATTTCCGACAGATTGGTGATATACTCGATATCGACCCCACCAATGTCATGCGTCTTGTAATGACTCATCAGATGACTCTTGGTTGCAAATTGCTTTCCACACTCACACTTGTACGGCCTCTGCCCAGTATGAAATCTGACATGCACCGTGAGCGATGTTTTCTGCGTGAAACGTTTCCCACAAATCGTACATTCAAACGGCTTTTCGCCATTGTGGGTCCTCTGATGAAGAGTCAGGTACTCCTTTGAAGCGAAATTCTTGCTGCAAACTTCGCAGCTGAAGTCTTTGACACCGGTGTGCATTTTAACGTGAGTTTCGAGACTATTTTTACTGCTCACTGACTTTCCGCAGATAGTGCACATAAAAGATTTGATATTGGAATGGATCTTTTTGTGGTTTTTGAGGTTCCTGGAGTTCAAGTAGCTTTTGCCGCAGATATCACAGATGTGGGACCTATTTGTGCCGTAGCCGGGATCGTGAGTCAACTTGTGCTTCGTCAAGGCCGACAGGGTACTCAGCTTGGCACCGCAATGGTCACATATCAGCTTCACTTTATCGTGAACAACGCTTATGTGGGCTCTGAAGTCTGCTGCGGAGATGAAGCCTGTTTGGCAGCTATCGCAGAACCCCACATACTCTCCCAAATGCTTCTTGCGATGGACGTTCAGGTGGGATTTGTGAATGAACATTTGGGAGCACATCTCACATTGATAAGTTGGTTCGTTGTGGGTTCTAGCGTGAGCTGTCACTTCGTACTTATGCCTGAAGAGTTTGCCGCAAACCTCGCATGGGAACTCGCGATTTTTGGTATGGATCAGCATATGTTTCTTCAGGAGTTTCTTGGTGGAAGTGACGCTATTGCACAAATCGCACTTGAACGTTTTCTTTGCCACACCACTGCTATTGTCTTCTATAATCGCCGAGTTTGGTGAGTTTACCGAAGGCCCTGGTGCTTCACATGTTTTGTTGATGAGCTGTTCGATTTCCTCAGTGGGTACGAACTCGGATTCTTCGTTCATCAGTCTCTGAAACTGTTCATTGGTCGAGATGTTCTGCAAGATGGCCGTACAGTTTTCCTCGGTCGATAACAGATTCATCAATTCGTCTGAATCATTCAGCTGATCTACCACAGAAGTTTCCAGTATGTGGTCTGATAACGCGGGCTGTTTATGACTGTGTACTAGGTACATGAAACTTGGCAGATGCAGGGGTGAGTTTAAGGTGGCCATGTTGAAATTTGTTGGGTAGAGGTGGTCTTGGTATAAACAGCTGAAAATGCGAGGTGAATTAGGTTAATCGAAATGAATGTCGCATACGACATGGTCAGGAATAGTTGAAAGACGAATGTGGGAAAATAAGAGATTTATTTCAATATGTCATATAAACTCAATATAAATGTCAATACAGTATGATATAAAAACAAATATATTCCCTAGTTCTAGGGAAAGAAGGAGAAACATTCGAAATGAGGACTGAAATGCACCAGGACAAATATATTTGAGAACTATAATCGAAATAGTTGGCTGATGTTAACAAAATAATATATGTTTCCATAAAATTATTGTAGATATTAGGTACTGGGTGATTCACCATCAATTTCTCCCCACATTTTGAATCGCTGAATGAGAGAGTTCACATGCAATGAGATCATATTGATAACCATATCGTATGCGTTCTAAACTATCCTTTGATTTTTTCGATCAATTACTTTTACGCACAATGTGGGTGGATCAATGAGTTGGTCTGTAAGGGTTGTGTTCTCTTTTTATTGATAGAATATCCTGTAGTCTCTATAACCGTCATCGTTAGAGTCAATCTTGAACATAAGTATAGATTTTGTTGCTTAATAATTTTTGTCGAATCAAGGGTGAAAATAATTTATCATCGTAAAAATGTTAGATTATTTGATACTATATACTCACTGTATATCTGTACTATGATTCATTTGTTGCTACTAAGTTATTTTATCATATCTTTGGTTTTCTCTGAAGATAAATGTTCTTTATAGGATTATGACAAAAACTGTTATCTTTTTAACTTGAAAACTAGTAGATTTTCACTAGTAGGACATCAATAATCGAAATAATTTTATAACATTATAGTATACTCATTTCCAAGGTGACGTTTATGGAGAATACAAGATATTCTGAACAAAAAAAACATAATTCTCACAGACCAACCCATTGAGCCACCTACATTGAGCGCAATATACAGGGTGATTCAGGTTTTGAGGCACAAGCTGAAATGTGTAACAGATCTCATCATGTTAATCGACAAAGTTCATATCAACATGAGTCCGATCTCTATCAGTAGCAGAACTACAAGAGGGCAAAGATCAATTATTTGTTTCTGTTAATCGAAATATCTTGCTATTGAAATTATCAATTTGATATTTGGTAAGGTTGTTACTTCCTTGAATATCATCATTTTAATAATTTTGAAGATTTCCAAAATCTATAGAGTGATGAATTTTTGGGGGTTCAAGATTCTTGATCCCCCCAAACTTTCTTGTAGTACGCCTCGACATCATCTATCTACCGGATTATGTGAATTGTTCAAATTGAAGGATTATATTGCTCTTGAAAATTTTTCGAGAAACGAACCGTTTTCGAAATAAATATTCGTAAATATCCGTTCTATAACATGACTGAGAGGCAAAAGAAGCCTCTAACTTGATATATTAGATTTCTGGACTGGAAGATGTCAGTGCCGTACCATGAAAAAATTTGTGGGGGATAAGGAAGCCTCTTTCCCCAAAAACTTATCACCCTGTAGATTTTAAAAATATATAAGATGGTCAAAATAATGATCTTCTAGGAAGTATCGGCCACACTAAATGTTTTTATGAAATCTTCAGAAGTGAGCAAGATATATTAAATTATAGAAAAAAATAATTAAATGTTGTTTATGATCGAGATCGGACTCATGTTTATAAAAACTTTTTTGAAGAAAATGATGAGATCACCCATCAGTTTGTGTCTTTAAATCTGAATCGCCCTTTATATATCAGATAATCGGCTATATCTTCGTAGTCGTTTGACACAAACCCATCATACCCTGTATCGTTGAATTCGTTTTTGAAATCTCTAACTGATTGTGGAATGGAATACGAGGTGTCTCATTTAAAAAATCAACTAGTACCCTGTAGATCGTTTTTTCCTGTTATTTTATGATGAAGCGAAAAAAATATATGGTCATTCAAAAACTTGTCAAGAATAATTTTTCACGAATTTTTTGAATATGTGCATACTTTTTCTTTACATCAACAAATTTCAGGGTGGCTCAGAATTTTTTTTTTTTTTTTTAAATGAATGATCCATATTTGTTTCCTTAATTGATGAAGCCCGTCAATCTGAATTCAAATATATATGTCATTCATATATTATTATCGAATAAAATTTAGATGACTCCATTTGGAAAGTCGTTTCTTTAGGCACCCTGTATTTTGTTGATATAGAGAAAAATGGAGCACTGATTCAAAAAATCTGTAAAAACTATTTCAGAAACGTGTTTGAATGGCCAACATATGTTGAGAGTTACGAGAATAAAGGGGGGACACCCTGTACTATAGAACATTTTTGATAAGTTCCATTCTAATTTGGGAAGTTTTTTGCGATAATCATAGACAAGCCTGGATGCGTATATGTCAGATGACTGGTACTGAAATAAATGTTTTTCTTTTGAAAAATGACTATCAATGTTTGCAGCTTCTGAAATTCCTCAATATATTTCAGCTAATACACTTAGCAGTTACTTTTCAGACCTCAAATCTCCAATGTGACAAAAAATCATAATCACTTAAACAAATATAATTGGAATTGCAGCGAAAAAAAACTAAAACCTAACTTCAAATCACATTTACCGAATTGCTCAACTCCCGCTCAAGTCATTATGTGACGTCATCAATATATCCACTGGCTGGTGTGTACCAAGTGACACTATGAAGTACCACCTCCTGAAATTCTTTTATTTCTGATAGTAGAAGAAAAATTAAAATATTGTCGAAGGGGATTTGTTCTGTTTCGAATCAACAGATACATTTTCACGATCTCAAAGGATATACAGGGAGCCCTTTTACTAAAAGTGGCAACGCTGCATCGCTGAAAATATTTTGAATCGTTAGATCACAAACGCTTATAAGAGTACCCAAATTTTCAGAATATTCCAATGTACCGTTTTCCGTATACGTCTAAGGTACCATCGACCGTGGGCCACCCTGTAGATAGCAATATAGAGAAATCTTTCAAAAATCAGTCAAAATCTGTTAGTTTTGGATGCCCTAAGATTGAGAAATGAAGAAGATATTTTGGAAAGGTCTTTCCAATGATGAAATATCTATTTGAAATTAATACACTTTTTGCAGCTCCCTGAATGTTTTCGCAGATAGTGGAAACGTATCCTTTGATTCAAGAAGTAAAAAAATCTTGAGGCTGTTTTCAATTTTTTCTCTACTGTCCAAAAGGTGAGATTAATAGCAGATGGTACCTCACAACGTGTCACCCGATATAATTAGTATGAAAGTTCCCATAATCACTGAATATGTTGGTGACGTCACACTAGACAGGAAGAGAAGCTCGTACAGTATCACCAGCTGAACTCTCATGCCACTTATTAATATGGATAAACTATATGGCACTTTCCAGAAGTATACAAACTTTACAAGAGTAAAATGGTGACCCCAAGGAAGATAACATCACAATTGAGAATCATCAGCACATCATTCATTTTATGATGAAAGACACAGGCAATGCCTTTTCAATGTCATTTTCATCATCGCTCTTGATACCCTCTCGTTCTTTGCCTTTGTCTCCATCAAAACGGATGACTGTTTCTCTCTCTTTCTCGCTCTGTTCCACAACAGCGGTTTCTTCGCCGTCGCTCAACACAGTTATACTATCAGACGCTAGCATATAGTCCCCCTGAACAGACTGCACGTCAATTATCTTGGGCATCCCCGACAACTTCAAACCTGAATTCCTATACCTCCTCTCTGCCCGTTTTGTAGGATTTGGAGTTGGGAGTTTGACATTCCTCTCTTCGGGAGTTACCATCCGTGGCTGATAAGATGGCGGAGGTATGGCATTCCTTTCTTCAGCAGGTACCATCAGTGGCTGATAAGGTGGTGGATGTATGTAATTCTGGTCCTCGGGAATTATCATCCGTGCCTGATAAGGTGGTGGGGGTAAAGAGTACATGCTTTCGACCATAGTTTGCCTCTCTGGCACGTTGGAGGTCTTGGATAGATCCATAGCGTTGTACGATGGCAAACTCAAAGTGGTGTGTATGTTATCCCAGTAAGCTTTAGCATTAGGTGGAGCAAACAGTGGAGCCTCGTTCTGGTCATACGCTTGAAACGAAAGATCGTTGTACATGAGGGGAGTTCTTCGGCTGATAGCCTCAGGCTCCATCAGGGTGTTGAAGGAAGAGGGCTGGGTATAAGAAGATGAGGACATCGCATCATTATTACTCATCGTTGGTGGTTCAGGAGGTAGTTCTGGGGGCTTATTTCTCGGCTTTCTTGGTTGTCTTGGCTTCTTAACGGGTTTAGGTGGTCGTATCATTCGCTCTATATTTTGATTGAGCCTTGTGAGAGATATATTCGATGGGTGAGTATTGGAGGGACGTACGGGCAGTGATTCATTCCAGACATTTGGAGTTCGACCTATTATTGGAGATAGATTTGGGTCTGGAGGAACATCTATGAACGTTCTGCTTTGGTTCACATTTGGGTATTGGATGCCCAAGTTAGAATTATGGCTTGAAGTGGCTAAAGAAATATATGGAGGAGGCAAAGATGGCTGTTGCGGGATAGAAGGTGGTATTTGCTGTATATTCGAATTGTTGCGTTGATGTTTTGGTATGTTCGTGTTGTTTTCATGTGGTACAACGTAGTATAACTCGTCATTGACGAAGAATGCTTGGATATCTGAAGTTTTTGAAGCTTCACTTTGGACGTTGGAAGCTGGCATATTAGTTGGGGTTTGTACAGTATCAGAAACTGTTGGATTTATAATGAGGCCAGGAAGGTTATGTGCATGTAAAGCCATATGAGATTGAAGTTCCTCCTCATCTGAGAAAACATCGTAGCATATTTCACAACGCCGGTCCAATGTTATAACGTCAGTTTCGAATGTGCTTGGAATGTCTGGGAAATTTCTGTCGTTTGAATCTTCCAGAACAATACTGATATCTAAAGGATCACGCTCATCAGAAACTTCTCTTGACTGAGGGTCATCTTCAAATATGCGTCCCTTCCTGAGAGTATGCTCCACGGAATTGAAGTTCTGAGAATTGGCTGTATCAGTCGATTCATCAGAATCTTCCCAAACAAGTGTGACATGATCGGTTTTCCCCTCGCATCTCAACGATGTTTCTCCAGCGTTCTTGTAATCTTCAAGGTCCTGACGAGTATCGGTCGGGTTCAAGATGGCATCTTTCGATTCATCCGAATCTTCTAGGACAACAGTGACAGCAACAGTTTTTTTTGTGGTCGATTCCAAACTCGTTAGGATAACTCTACATTGAGCCTGGTTTCTCAAAATATCTTCTTTCAGTTGTTTCATGGACCTAAAAAACAAACCATTGAGTGTGCAACAAAAGGTATAAGACAATGAACGAATATCTACTCAGGGAAAATTCAACTCGAAAATTGTGAAGGAATTTTTATTGAAATTTCAACGATCAAAACATAAGCATAACATTCAAAAATTAACAAATATTTAGGCAACTTGATAAACAGTCTATACTTTTTTCAAGGATTTCTTGGGGTTTGATAGATTTGGCTCTTCAATGCTCATCACTCCCCTGACTGATTCCTTGATTTTCGTGGCACATTTCCTTCTCTAGTAAATGGAGCTAGAGGGAGTCCACTATTACTAGGAACCAAAGGGCCATTCGGCCGGAAACCTATCATTTGGACTATTTGAGGATTACTCTGGAGATTATTTTGACCAACAGTAGTGAACCGCATCAACTGTGGCATACGATTCTCAACATGGACTATATTCCGTGATGCTATGTTTCGAATGGTATTATTTGGCATGTCAGAGCAAAAGTTTGACACTTCTAGATCTACGGCTGGGGAATATGGAGTTGATTTCGTCAAGAATTGTGGAGCGATAACGTTTGGATTCCCCGTGAAAGATTGCCCTGTTCTTATTTCTTCTAAGAAATTAGAATCGTCTGTCAAAGACATTGCCACCTGCCTTGATTTATATGTTCTATTCATCAAACCAGATGGGTAACTAGAATATAGTGTGCTAGCTGTGGGATTACTTCTAGAAGTTTTTCTGTTGGATTTACCAGGTGGGTATGGAACATTGACAGTAGAATTTAGTAGTTGTACTTCCATGGGTTGTTCAGAATTATCCACTAAATGAATTCCATCATTTCCTGACGAGCTCAGCAACATCAGTTGTTGGTTATTCATGACTGTCGATTGAACTGGTATAGGCTGATATACTTTCATCCCATATCGAGGTTTCTTTTTTCTTGGTAGAATAATGTCATCCTTGGTGATGAAACATTGTTCAGTATCAACATCAACACTCTCATCAGATTGGATATGATTCAAAGCATTCATAGAATCAATAACGAGTTCATTGATTCTGTTTGCTGATATCTGTTTATTATTTATTTGCTGTTGTATTTTCTTAGTGCTCATCTCAGATCTTTCATCATGCACTAAATCAGTCACAGCTTCTTGATAACTTGGCAATAATTCTTCGTCAGTCTCTGTCTTGCAACAGATTTCATCATCAATTATAATCTCAATATTATTGGTGATCATTGTGTCAGTGAATTCGAATTTTTCCTCTATGACGTCACAGTCTCCACTCACATCATCAACCGTAACTGACTTAGTTTCAGACCTGCTATCACGTTCATCCAACCAATGATCCAACGCATCACCCATTCCCATAGCATAACTGTGTTCTTCGAAAGTCTGTACTTCTAGTACAGAACCTGTACAAACATGCTGCTCTAATTCCTCAGAATTATTTGAGGTGAAACTGCACCTTCTGCACCTAAATGTGAATATACTATCTTTCGATAGGTAATTGGCACAGCTAGCTCGCATGAAATTCTCTGGAACAGTTTTGCACTCTGAAAATTTGTGAGCATCGACTAGATGCACTTGCATGGAAGTATATTCGAAAAAACTGTCATCGCAGAATATGCACTCGAAAAAGTTGTAACAAATCTTGTGCTTGCATATATCTTCTAGTAAGCTCAATGGAGTCATGTTTTCATTGCAAGCTACGCAATGGAAGACGCAAAACTGTTTCATTACCATGTGCCTTATCATCTGTGCCAGAGTATGGAAGTTGAAGCTACAAATATTGCATCTGAAATTTGTCGTGGTTGTTATTGCGGTTTCGTGAGGGTCAGCTTGTTGAGGCTCATCTTCCTGCTTCACATCATCCAAAACTACAACTGATTCACTGTCGGAATCAGGGATAGGTCCATCACTGGATGCACTAGTTGGTATACTCGCGATTCCAGCTGAGAATAGACCTGTGGTTGGAGATATCAAATTCTCTTCTCGGAAGTCACTGGCTGAGTCGACTTCAACACACTCATTGAATGTGAATTCCAGACTAGATAAGGAGGAAATGCTGCTACATGCAACATCACTGTCGCCAGTACATGGCAATATTTCTTCTATTCCTCTTTCTCTCTCTCTTCTGTCGCCAATACATGGCAATATTTCTTCTATTCCTCTTTCTCTCTCTCTTCTCCCTACATTATTTGATTTTTTCTTTGGCAATATTTCTTCTATTCCTCTTTCTCTCTCTCTTCTGTCGCCAATACATGGCAATATTTCTTCTATTCCTCTTTCTCTCTCTCTTCTCCCTACATTATTTGATTTTTTCTTTGGCAATATTTCTTCTATTCCTCTTTCTCTCTCTCTTCTGTCACCAGTACATGGCAATATTTCTTCTATTCCTCTTTCTCTCTCTCTTCTCCCTACATTATTTGATTTTTTCTTTGATTTTTCTTTCCTCCTCGTCCTTCCTCTCCTCCTGGCTCTTCCTTTCCTTCTCCTGGTTCCATCCAGCATGGTATTGCAATTTGTTTCTTGTATAATGCATTTCTTGATTCTGAGTAAATCTCTGAAATTATCTTCATGCGTTTGTTTGTGCATGTACAAGTCGAAAGCGGTTTTGAAATTGATTAAACAAGCAAAGTCATTTCTTCTTTCTTGGTTGAGTATAGCAGTGTCGTTTTCGAATGTGAAGCTTTCATCCAAGAGTATATCAGACAAAACAACTCGACAATCTCGTGAGAAATCAATCGTTCCATAGATATTTTCAGGTTTGAAGCGTTGCCTGAAAGAGACATACCGTTAGTGAATGTTCTCAGTCATATGATGTATTTTTGGAAAACTTACTCGATCAGCATACATACCATATTTCTATGGGTTTGTTAGGTTTATTATGTCTACAGGAAAACTGCACTAAATGTATTAAAACATTATGGAAGTAGGATAAAAAAGTGCCTGAAGATGCTTCACTAAGTGGCATTAAAGTGAGTCGTTTTATCCAATTTTGGAGGTAGAAGTAATGTAATGGCGGATAGGGAAAGTCGAGGTGAGTTGATATATATGTGAAAAAATATATTCTGCTTATTCTTAACAGAAATACAGGGCATTATATGAATTCGGGGCGGAACTTTGATTAACGATATTTCAGGAATGTCTTGATGTTTTCGCCTGAAATGCACTAGCCATTATCTCTACTGATACATCACACGATGGCCTACTATGGAAGACAAATTCCAGAGCCGGACTTGGAACTCTCATTTTATTTTTAAATGTCAAAATTTCGACTTTTTGAATTGTATTTTTCGAATACTTTCATCAGAATCAGAAAAATCAGGGGAAAAACTACAAGTGTAGCTTTTCAATTTGTACGGCACACTTCGATCGGATTGGTGTAAAAATATCAAACAAAATTCAGACGAATATTTCTTCAGGCGCAGGGTATAACATGAAGTTGTAGTCATGTTGTAGCCATCTTGTGGCAAAGCTCTGAGGTAGGATACAGAGATATCGCGACATACACTGTATGGCGCTGCCATCTATAGTCACACGTACAGACCCCTACGTCTATACGCTACAGAGTGGTACTACAAGTAAATCACTCTGATGACAGATGGCACTAGCTGACATACTTGAGTGGAATTTTTCCACCACCTATTCAACTGCTAAATCTCATAACTAAGAGATCTAGGATGAACAGAGTTGCCCCAATTGTCAGCAGGAGCGAGACAGTACTATTTCGACCCACCAGGTCTCAGCAGCCGCTCTCGGTCTGCTGACAACTGGGATAACTCTACGCTTCGGGTATATCACCCACTTCGAAGACGCAGGGTATAACATGAAGTTGTAGTCATTGACAATTGACATTGTAGTAAGTCCGGTCCTGGATGTTTTCATCGAATAGAGCGTTTCTCCAACTCTTATAATACACCGATATGCAAGAAATGGATTTAAATGAATTTGTTGAACGATGTGACTACAATAGCCAGTACGAAATCATGGAATCGTTCATCAGTATTTTGTCCGATTTTTTTTTTTCACCAATCCGGTGCAAGTGTGCCGTACAAATTGGAAAGTCAAACTTGTAGTGTTTTTCCTGATTTTTCTGATTCTGATGGAAGTTTTTCAAAAATACGATTCAGAAAGTCGAAATTTTGACATTCAAGAAGAAGATGAGTTTCCCAAGTCCGGCTCTGGAATTTTTTTTCCATAGTATGCCATCGTATGGCGTGTCAGTAGAGGTCAGTTGCTGGTGAAAGTTCCGCCCCGAATTCAAATAAGGCTCTGTATATTTGTTACAAATAGGCAAATATATATTTTTTCACATATATATCAACTTCCCTCGACTTCCTCTACAATTGGGCTATGGCTGGTCATAACTCACCCTGTATGTATAGTCAGTTCTCTAAAATTCAAAATTAAAATGAACATTTGTTGGGCAAATAAAAAGAAAAAAAATCAAATAAAATATTTATTGCGAAAAAAAATGGAGAGGTGCACTATACAGATTATTGTCGCAAATTAAGAAAAATAATACAATTGGTAGGATAACAAATACACGAAGAAAAAAATATTGTACTTTTGAAAAAAAAATCGTCGTATTGTGGGCATTATTATGTTTTAGGAAAACCCCAGAAACTAGCCTGTGATATTTGAACAGCAATGACAAAATGTGAAGATTCAGGGCATTCATATTCCAGTATTGACATTGGATAGCTCTGAGCTACTTTAAATAGTAACATGAACTATTTAAAAGATATTGAAGATCTTAGGAAACGTCAATTTTAAAAGAATATGCGATTATAGTGAAATACTTATTTATGCAGCAAGGCAGTATTTATCACCATTATAGTTCTGTGAGTGATACTGGAATTTCGATCTATTGTCCCTATGAACTTCTTTTCAATTCTAATTGAAATTTAGTAGTTATGATCATGGCAGCATATACAGTGTGACCCACTTCTAATGGAACCACCCCTGTATCTTACGTAATCGTTGGGTAAGGATCCTGAAATTTGCTGGAGCGAGAGATATACCAAAAATGCACTCTATGACCAAGTGGGGTGATCTTCAGTGATATACACTGCTCGCCAACAGCCATGAAACCACCCCAATTTCCGGAAAATGACATTAGGAGTCAAAATAGGTTGGAAATCACTTCAGATTCGTAATCAGGACGCCCAATTCACTACCTTTTCATAGTTTTCCTAGAAAATTTTCAGTTCAGAGAAATCAAATTTTGTCTCACTTCTCATGGAAGCACCCCCGTATCTCACGTAATTATTGAGGTAGGGTTCTGAAATTTGCCGGAGGAAGAGAAAGTCCAAAGATAAAGTCAATTACGTGAGATACGGGGGTGCTTCCATAAAAAATGCGACAAAATTTCATTTTTCCGAACTGAAAATTTTCCAGGAAAAATTTGAATAGTTAGTAAATTGGGCGTCCTGATTCCAAATCTGAAGTAATTTTCGACCTATTTTGACTCCTAATATCATTTTCCGGAAATTGGGGTGGTTGCATGGCTGTTGGCGAGCAGCGTATATCACTGGAGATGACCCCACTTGGTCATAGAGTGCATTTTTGGTATATCTCTCGCTCCAGCAAATTTCAGGATCCTTACCCAACGATTACGTAAGATACAGGGGTGGTTCCATTAGAAGTGGGTCACACTGTATGACAAGTCTCCAATGATAAATACCTACTAGATTCGAGTGCCATTCCTGCGAATTTCGCATCAGAACAGTGAATACCGGTTAATTATAATTGGTAGAGAAAAGACACTTCAAGTTTTGAAAATTTACAAATAATGGTTGATTCTATAGCTAGTGGTGGAAAAAAATATTACATGAGGCACGGTACATGCTGGGTGAGTCATGAGGAACTGTACAGGGTGAGCCAAATCGGGCACTTTGAAAGGCAAATTCCTCTTCCCGTACAAGATAGAAAAACACTGATGTCCGTGAAAACCGTATATCGATATCTATCTCCATTTCAGAGTTACAAGGTGTTTTTTTTTCGGAAATGAGAATAAACTGGTCACCATTGATAACGTCGTGGTCCGAAATATAGCCTGAATTTAAATTAGAATAACTCACGAATTTCCTTACCATTTTGAAATCGGTTTTCACCGATGATTTGCCTAATCTCTTGAGAGTTTGTTGTGGCGATATGAAACTTCTGTAATTTCAGATAACATTGCTACAGGGTGATAATTGAATGGGTGTAAAATTGCATCGTGGTCGTCACCTCACCGTTTGAAGAGATAATTTTTCTAATTTTTTTCCTCACCTGTATCCTCTTGATTGATGCTTTTTCTCGAAACATTTTCGGAATTTTCGTAATCAGAGCTTTGATAATCGTGTTATGAATATTCATTCTCAGAATGATGCATTTTTCTCGACGATCAATTGAAGAAAATTGGAAGTTGGGATTCTTGTTCGACGAATCAACGTTGAATGTATAGTCGTCGGCTATGTGATTGTGTTCGAAGGCAGAAAATTTTGAAAAAGTCTATACAAAGTGATACAAGAAATACTGAATGATGGAATGGAGAATAACGTAGCCTTCAGTAGATGAAACATAATTTTCTTTGTGTTACTAGTGAAATAATGGAGTGTTACTTCGTCATGAGGATGTCTGGTGTCTGACCTCGAAATTGTTTTGTAATTTCTCGGATCGAAGGTCATATAATGTAGGTACGCATTTCTAATCAAATCAAATTCAAAAAATTACGATTGTAGTTCCAGAAGTATGGAATTTATATTTATTCTTGACGATGGATATACAAGGTGAGCATAAAAAATATGTCGAAATTGTTCCAGGATCAAGAAGAATATGTTTAAACGTGATGAAATTCGCTATGTTCCGAAAAAGAAATATATTGTCGGTCAATGTCGAAAATTGTGAAATGTATAAATACAGTAACTTTATATGGAGCGTATACGAGGAAATATGGAAGAGACTGCAGAATTGCTATGGATTCGTTAAATTGTTTTTCATACCAATGAAGATGAATAGTAAGTCCTCATGAGGCTTATTTATACGAGATAATATAATACTTCGGTTCCTCGAGAACGATTTTCATCATAAACTCAATATTTTTTGTAGCTATTTTCATGAAGATAGACAATTTTTGCCAAAAAAAATATCTGTAGCCACTTTTCAAAAAATCACATTTTCGAAAAACACCTTGTAACTCCGAAACGAAGACAGATATCGATATCAATTTGAGTGTCCAATTTGGCTCACCCTGTACATACTCCTACCACGATGGATATACCGAATGTCCCTCACAAAGTGTCTCCTTCATTTCTTTTCCAATATATAGGGTGCATTATGAGATTTCGCAAAAACATGTTTTAGTCATAACTTTTCAACAGCTTCTTCGGTTCGTCTGATTTTCTCAATCCAGGACCGTTCTTGAAAAATTATGATAGTTTAGTTTATAGCAAAAAGTTCATCCTGTATATCGTTTTTGTAAACTATGACAGGGAATTTTCATAGGTCACACACAAACATCGGGAATAAAATATTCCAAATTTTCCTCACACTTTCACTGCAGTCTGAGAAAAATTATGAATTTTATGAAAAAAATAATATTTGAAAAAATGGAAAATTGGAAATTAAGACAGCCCATAAATTTGACGAATAAAAGTGGCACTTGAACAATTTCAGATTGGAAATCAACAATTTTTTTTATTTTCAGGCCTGGATTTAGTAATTTTTTTTGTGGAGGATGATAATCACCCTGTAGATATTTTTTGAATCAGTGGATGGGGTATCTGAAAATTTTGATGGCCTTCGGTAAAAATAATTTCATAATTTCAATTCACAGTTTTATCTATTCGATTTGATTCATTCAGTTAATTTG